GTGATGATTGGCATGCGAGGCTTTGCCGCGACCTTCGCCGCGCCCCGCATTGCTCGGTGTTGGCGTCCGAAGCGGTTCGTAATTTGCCGATTTTGAGCGGAGCAGGAGCAGTAGGAACGACCCGGGGGTTGGTAACGCTGGCGGTGCAACATCTCACGGGCCGCTAAATACGCCGCGATGGGCTTAAGAGGCGCGTATCCTTATGACTCGACGAGTAGCGGCGGGCACGTCGCCAAGAGACTATTTCTAAGCGCGAAAGCACCTGTTCCCGAAATAAAGACTGCGCACAGCTTCCTCGGACAATGGCCGGGGGCAGGTGGGGGTGGATGGGAAAGTGGCTCGGAAGGCGGCGATTAGCGGCAGCGGCTAGCTCGCGACAAGCCGGCTGGCCTCCAAGATGACGTTAGGCCGGCTGCCGTCCAATCCGTTCTAGTTCAGAGAGCCGCGCGCCTACTCTCACTTTTGCATCGGCTCGCGACCGACCTACGTCGATCTGACCCAGTTTGCGTCACGGGGGGAGAGCTGGGCGGCGGGGGTATAGAGAGAGAGAGAGAGAGAGAGAGAGAGAGAGGGAGAGAATGCATCGGCGCAGCAGCAGCCACAGCAGCCACAGCTGAAATAGCGCCATACGAAGCTAGAGAGAGAGAGAGAGAGAGAGAATTTGAGAGAGAGAATTTGAGAGAGAGAGAGAGAGAGAGAGAGTGAGAGAATTTGAGAGAGAGAGAGAGAGAGAGAGAGTGAGAGAATTTGAGAGAGCGAGAGAATAAGTGAGCGAGAGTGTGAGTAAGAAGTCGAGGGTGGGAGAATGGGAGAGGAGAATGAGTGAGAGAGGGTGCGATAGGATGAGAGCGAGTAGCGGAGGGGGTGTGACGTGGTGCAAGTCAGAGACAGAGCGACGGAGAAATAGAGTGATAGTGAAGTAGAGGGATAGTGAGGTAGAGAGATAGAGAGATAGATAGATAGATGCATAGATAAAGAGAGAGAGAGAGAGAGAGAGAGAGTGCAAGAGAAGGGTGAGGGAGACTGAGAGACAAGCAACTTAACATTGACTCTAACTACCCGAGAGAACAAAGACGCTCTCTATTGGGCGCTCCCACGACGAGGTATCCAAGGCAGCTCGTGCCCGTCGCTCGACCTCCTTCCCGCGTTCTCCAGGGCTCTGACGCGGGGGATGGCGGTGTTGGATAAACCGCCGCCACGCATGGACGCGCAGCCTCTGCGGCCAATGAGATTTTCCAGTCGACCGCGGAAAAAGGCGCGCGCAATATATCGCATCGGATACGAAAACAACTTATTTTTAGAAGTACGTTCAACGCGCGCATTGTATAATGTACACCGGCATATGGACAAAGTGCCCCCCCCCCACCACCGCCACGACACTCTCTCCCACTTGACTGACCACCCCCGTACTCCTCCTGTAGCCCGCAAATAATCCTCGTCCAGCTTACGTAAGTAACTTCGAGTTTCGCGTAGAGATAGATCTATGTCTTTAATTTCAAGGATAGACCTCGTTAGGGGGACGTCATGGGCGGCGAGCGGAGAAGGATCGATTCGTGGATTCGCGACTCCGGACAGGCAGGGGCATATCGTAAGACCCATCGCGCGTTCCAAAGTGGGTGGGTTTAGCGATCGCCGACGAGTCCCGGGCGTCGGGTCGCAACAGAATCGCGCGTAATAACGAGCGTAGTGCGCGACGACTGCGGCGCCGCCGCCAGCAGAGCCGACACGAGCGACTCGCGAAGACGATCCAGCGACTTACGCAATACCGAGGTGCCTGTCCCGGTGTGAAGCGGCATCGAGGATGTGGCCGCCGGCCGGCCGGCCGGCTCGCGTACTATCTTTGGCGGCCGGCTCATCACCTCCCGGATATTTCCGTGCCGGGCCTCTCGACGTCCACGTGGACGGGCCGCGCCCACGTAACGGGATAGGGCTTATCGCGTTGCGAAGTCCCGTGATGCCGCGATGAAGACACTCCCGTTGCATTACGTGCTCTAGGCATTCCGACGTTAATCTCGTGAAGAAAGATCGCGATGATGGACGAGGGGTGAGGGCAGGGGCAAAGGTACGGAGGGCGATTACAAAGGGGAACGCGAGGCGATAGTGGAAAGCGATGCCTTGATGCCTCAAAGGTGCGAGGAACGAGCTGCCGAGCACTTGCTTAGTTAGGCAGCAATCGAGCGGTGAAATCGTTCGGGCGGGCGTTCCTAATTAAGCCATGCAATTAGAAACGTAGAGCGAGGACGAGTGACAGCACCGGTGATGGTGTCGTCGGTACGTCGAGCAGCGGGGAGAGAGGATTATACAAGAGAAAATGAAAGATGAACTATGCTGTGTAGAAAGGAATATTAAACCTATGTTAAAGGTCCGAGAAATTTAGGTAAAAGTACTCGCGGAAAGTGGTAGGGGGGACGGGTTACTACGGAGAGACCTAAAACGCTTCTATGCAAGTTTTCTCTCGGCCTCTCTTTCTTTGTCTGATTGTCATCGGTCCGGCTCGTGCGAATCGTCATTGGGGCTTCGGGGTGGCAATTGGGGGAATCTTGCCGTGACTCGGAAAGAGATGATCAAAAATGGAACACACATACAACGAGGACGTATGAGCTCGCCCATTTCGTTGCGCATCGCACCCAAAGTACGAAGATCGAGAGCTCGCAAGCGTGCGCTTGCATCTTCTTTCGAGCAGCGCGACACCCATAGAGGGGCAGCAGAGATGAGAGAGAGAACTGGAGTGAATGGTAGAACGGGGTGATGTAGCTGGGAATATAGGGAGATAGATAAAGGGCCACGAAGCGAGCGAAGAATGGACGGATGGACGGACGGATGGATGTACGGACAGTGAGCGAGGTAGAGAGAGAATTAAAAAAGAGAGAAATAGAGCAACAGAGAGTAAGTGTGTAGTAAGTGGGAGAGAGAGAGAGAGAGAGAGAGAGAGAGAGAGAGCGCAACCGACCGAGCAGGCGGTAAGGCGGGATCGGCGTCGGGGAGAGGCAGGGAAAGACCGCGAGAGGGAGGTAGGGGACGAGAGAATAAGAGGGAGTGAGAGGTCGGGGGCGGCGGCGGCAACAGCAGCAGCGTTTAAGGAGGAGGTGGTGATGACGAAGAGGGGAAACGAGAAAGACAGTGCACATGCGCACGACGAAAATGGGCCAACTACGCTTTGGGAACGAGGTCAGGAAAATTAAATTTTCTGATTAACGCGCGGCACCGGTCGCTCTACTGCGTTAGTGACGGGAAGGAGAGGGGCGTGGTAGTAGCAGAAGGGGGGGGCGGACCAGGAGTAGCCCGGCGCGTGCATACGATATATGCACGGCAAAGGCCGAGACGCCTTTCTTCCTTGTGCATCATCTCCATCATTGCTTCCTTTATTTTTAAATACGATCATCAAAGTCGACGCCGAGCATTTTTAAAATTTCCAATCGACGGCGCGTCCGTGCCGCCGAGCTACGCGACGATCACTACCGCCGCCACTGTTGCCTCCTCCTCGGTGCGATTTCATGCGATGCGATGCGATGCGATACGATACGATACGATCTGATAGATCACTCGATCGACGCTTGGAAAATCGATCGATCGATGATAGCGCTACCAATCCATAAGCTTTCAATGACCAAATTATGCTACCACGAACAGTGGATTTACGCTAATTAATGACGAGGTGCACGGAGAACGCGGACACGTCAACGCGAGATGATGCATTTAGAGAGGGCATCCGCAGCTTCGTCGTTGCAATTTGACATTGGACGCGAATAAGGGATGCCGGGAGGATGGGGGGGGGGGCTAGGAGAAATAGCAGAAGTAAGCAAGAATGGAAGGAAGGGAGGAAGGAAGAAAAGAAGGAAGGGAGGAAGGAAGAAAGGAAGGAAGGAAGGAGGGAAGGAAGGAAGGAAGGAAGGAAGGAAGGAAGGAAGGAAGGAAGGAAGGAAGGAAGGAAGGAAGGAAGGAAGGAAGGAAGGAAGGAAGGAAGGAAGGAAGGAAGGAAGGAAGGAAGGAAGGAAGGAAGGAAGGAAGGAAGGAAGGAAGGAAGGAAGGAAGGAAGGAAGGAAGGAAGGAAGGAAGGAAGGAAGGACAGAAGGAAGGAAAGAAACAAGGGAGAAAAAAGGAAGGAAGCAAGGAAATGAGGAGGAGAGGATGAAAATATGAGAGGAAGAATGGAAGAAATGAAAGAATGGGAGGAGAGATAACAATGATGGTCAGAAGGAAGAGATAGAGATAGATATAGAAACAGAGAGAGAGAGAGAGAGAGAGAGAGAGAAATAAAAGAGTAATAAAAGAGTGAAAGAAATACAGAAGAAGTGAGTGGGAAAGCAACGAATAGCCAAAAGCCCAGTAAAGTGGCATCGGTGGAATAAGAGTAAGGAAGCGGGCGCGACCGCGATGAAAAAGAATAGAAACGAAAGGAAAAGAAGAAGAAAAAAAGCGGGGGACGGGGGCAGGAAGAGGAGGCGCGCATCAGTTATACGATATTTGGCTCGGTCTTCTTTTAAATGCCTTCTCCGTACGCGCAGCTTTTCCTCGGGGTTTTAAATTACGGAGCACGGCTCGCGACTTTAACAGCCCGCGCTGCCAAGGCCCGGCGACGAGACGCACATCGCTGAAATACGAGTACGAGTTCGTGTCGCAATGCCCATTCGTTATTAATAATTCATAAAATGCAACTGCGCCCGAGCCGATTTCACGAGCTCGTCTGGCTCTCTTCCTCCCAGCCGTGCCTCGACTCGCACACGCATAACCTAGAAATTGGCCGATCGAAGGTGGGCGAGCGAGCGCGCGCGGCCCGGCAGCCGCGAGTGCCCCGGAGGTACCCGGCACCCGTGTCTCCTCGAGGTCTAACCAGGAGGCGGTAGGTGGAACGGGCAACAGGGGCTGCTCGGTGGGGCATTGGCGAGGCCGGTGACGACCAGCGGCCTGCTTACGCGAGGACGACGAATTGGGGACAACCGGGTAGGTGATGGACGGCCTCCTGGCCTCCTCGCATCCTCGGACGGCGCATCGGTACTAACCTCTTGTCCGGAGGGGGCGATGCGCACGTCCACCTCGTCGAGGTGCTCCCTGTGCTGGGTGACCTCAGCCTGGATCTCCCGGCCGTTGTAGGTGAGGTAGACCCTCTGGCCGGCGACGAGCCTGGCCCCGGTGACGCTGCCGAATCCCGGTCCTATAAGATCCCGGTCCGAGTACTCGTTCTTGGAGTCGGGGGTCTTGGAGCCCTGGGGCACCGGGTCGAATCTCACCGAGTATCGCGTATTGGGCGTTATGCTGAGGCCCGCGAGCTCCGGCTGCTGGGGCGACGCCGGCGTGTTGACCGCGCTTATGACCCCGCAGTAGTACTTGCCGTCGTCGCCGGGCGCGCAGACGCGCGTCCCGATGATGCTGCGCTTCGCGAGCCGCTTCCCCGTCGACATGATCTGCTGGTGCGGCGGGTGCTGCTGATGTTGCAGCGCCTGCTGGCGTCGCCTGCGCCTCGGCGCCGGCTGCTGCTGGCCCGGGACTTCCGTGCTGGGGCGGTTCCGCGGGACGGCGCTCCGAGGTCTCCGCTCGCGCGCTCCCGCCGTGCTCCTAGGGCCCGCGCGGGGCCCTCCGCACCCTGGCCTCGGTGAATGGGCGGAGTGGATGCGTGCTCTTAACGGGACACTGGCCGGTACGGGCCTCCGCTGAGTTATCGGTGCGACGGGGCCTCGTGAAGGAGAGGGGAGGGAGCGCTCCTACGCGGGAGCTCGGAGCCGCTTGGGGCTCGGCGCGCGCTCGATCGCTGCTGCTGCTTCGGTGCTGTTGGGGACGGCGCGCTTAGCCGCCGGCAACATAATCGCCGGCACCCGGGCCCGGCCTTTTGTCCTCGGACCCGGAGGTCTGGACGCTGAACGCGCTGAACGCTGGACGCTGCCCGCGGCGGTGGGCCTCCGTGTGCGCGCGCTGCCTGCAGAGGACGCGCCGAACGCTGCGCGCACGTCTACTCTACGTGCGTACGTGCAATGCGAGTGCACGCGAAGTGCGCCTGGGAGTCTCGAGATCCGTAACGCGACACACAACTGCGAGCGAACCGGGAGGTACTGAGCGCCGCGCCGAGAGAAGCTTCGACTGGCGGCTACGGCTACGGCTACGGCGGCTACGGCTATGACGGCGGTGACGGCGGTGACGGCGGTGACGGCGGCGACGGCGGCGGCGGTGGCGTTGGCGGCGGTGGCGGTGGTGGTGGCGGCGGCAGCAGTGGTAACGGTGGCGGTGGCAACGGCGGCTCGAGGCCTCGGATTCCGCCGTCGTAGCCGCCGTAACCGCCGTAGCTGCCTGAGCCGCCGTAGCCGCCGCGCGCACCACGAGAGCGAAAGGGGGAGAGCCCGGGGACCGCCAACTGGTGGGAGCGTGACGGTGCTTGCAAGCGGCAGTATCGACGGGGGGATACGGCGGCCCCTTTCGCCGCCGGCCGGCCGTGCACCCGCCCGGGCAAAACAGCTGATAGATAACAACAAAGCCACGTGACATGGCCTCGCAACCCCATTGGACCGGGACTCTGACCTACTTACGGCCATTGGCCGGCCGGGGCCCCCACCCCTAGCTCCCCACGCGGTGCGACTCGTGAAGGAGACGCAGCTAGGCGGCCGACGTCGCCGGGGGGCGAGAGCGGGACGTGGTGCCGGCGTATCGCCGAGAGTAACCGAGCGCCTCGACGAAGCCGAGGGCTTCCTCGAGAGCGAGCCTCGCCGGCAACCCATTCGCCATGTTCTTTCCTCCTAGCCCCTCAACCCACCCAACCTCCACTGCTAACTCGCGGCTCCAACCCCCACCGCGACGCCCTTCGTCGCAACAGCGGCGGCTGCACCCGCCGTCGCCGCCACCGCCCCCGCCGCCCCCGCTCGGGGCCGACCGTCCAACATCTGAGAACGACGCGAGCGCTTTCCCGAGTGCCGCTGCAACGCGCTGCACTCACTCGGCCCCGAGTGGCCCTCCCTCCCCCCCTTTGCGCCACTCTCGCCATGCCCCGCGCACCTCCCTGCCACGGGTTCGCCGCCACCTAGTAACGAACACCGGCGCAGCATTTTCCTTTGTCTCGTTTTCCTCGTTTTCCGGCCGACTCGCGTGCCTCTCCCGCCGCCACGGTTTTTTCCGACCCGCGGGTTTTTCACCGAGGCCAGTTCGACGTCACCCCCCCACTCAGTCGAAGATTCCGCAACTCTGTTGCCGAGCGGAGCCCCCCGACTCATTGTCATAGGTCCGTTGCAATTGCGCACCGTTCCCCCCGTTTTGTTTGTTTGTAAACAGATGGAGGGTCTCCCTTACGGCGCGAGCGGCCACTTGGATGCGCTCGAGTCGCGCACCCGGAGTTGGCTTCCTTTGTTTATCGGTCGCGACAGCTGAGCGCGGCTACTCGCGGGAGTCTTGCGCGCCCCGTTCGCTCCCCGGTGAACGCCGCTCGAAGCTAATAGGGCAAGCCTCGAGGACGACGAGGCTGACGGAGGGACGAGCCATCCGACAGCGCGCTGAGTTTCAGCTGACGTCGTGCGGCAGCCATTTTCGCATCAGCTGGCTGCTATCGATGACGACACACGCAGGCTCTTCGAGAACTTTCCCCTCGTACGGACGTCGAGAGCAACGATGCGGCTACCGGGAACGGGACCGAGACGGAAAAGCGGTTCGGAAAATCACGGGTTCGCCTGCCCCGGCAGTGGCTGGCGTTGAGGGGGCGGGGCTGCGCGCGGAGTCCCGCGAACAAAGGAAAAAGACTTTCGGCCCGTCGAAAGAGCGAGGAGAGGAGCGCGCGCGCACCCACACGTCAGGCGCACAAACACCGAGGCAGACGACGCACGCACGTTGGTTCGCGGCAGCCTCGGGATTTAAAGAGCGCAGGCACGAGTGAGCGGCCGAGTGGGGAGGACATTTTACTCCATCAGCTGGAGCGACGCCGCGATGCCAATGTGACGAAACAAAGCTGAGCGCCGAGAGCTTCGCTATTTACGCAGTACCTCGGCGCTCTCGTCACCCCGGCCCATCCGCCCACCCACCCGCCCTTGCTAACACCCTCGTAGGTTCCCGCTTGCTTTCTATCTCTTCCTCCATTCCTACCCCCATGTCTCTTTGCATTTTATTCGCACCTCCCGACAGGTTCTCGCGGTCTCCCCATGGCGAGGCGCAATGACAACGGCGGCGACGGTGGCAGATCGGCGCATAATCACGAGCGTTCCCAGCCCAAAGCGACAGTAGTGGCAGCGACAATCAAATCACAACGACGAAACTCCTCTTATTTGTTTTCTTTCTTTCTTGGACCGAATGCCACTCGGGTGACGAATCCGAGGGGTGACGCGCCCGTTGCTTTTCCCATTGTCGATGTCGCACAAAGAGACGAGCGAAGCTCTAGATAAGGAAGGGAACGCGGAGGCGCGTGCGATGCATGCGCGGAAAATCGGAAAATCACGGATAGGGCGAACTACAGCCTCGTGACAATAACAACAACAACAACACCCCCCCCCCACACACACATACACACATACACACACAGAGACACACATCGCCTAACCCACCACCGCATCTATCGTACCGACCCCCAACGCCCGTGCCCACCCCCACCCCCTGTCGCCCGTTATCACCGATCGTCATCCATTGTCACTCTTCGTTACCCGTCCTCACCCGTCCTCACTCGTCGTCACCCGTCATCACCCGTCGTCGCTCGTAGTCGCTCGCAGTCGCTCGTCGTCGTCCGCAACCTCCGTCACGGGTGGGGGCGCGTAGGGCCCCCTAAGATCGCCCACAAACGGCCCATCCTCGTTTATATCCGTGCGCGCAATTGCGCAATGATCGTCCCGCCCGAGCCGAGTATGTAATTAGTTATCCATCGGTCTCCAAGGTGGCTGTCTCTACGCTGAGCCGCCCGACGTTGTCAATGGATTTTCGCGCTAACGCTACCACCTCCTCCTTCGGCCCCGCGGGCATTGGGCCGCTGCCCACCAAATTTCGCATGACGGATACCAGTTAAGCGTAGGATATCACGGCGCTGCGGAAAAAGGCCCCGTGTGGTTGCAACCTACATTTCACGGGCTTCTTATCGGCTCCCCCGCGAAACTGGGTTAATCCTTGACGAATAAGGCCAACCTAGTGCCATTACCAATATTCGCCCTTCGCTGCCCTCTCCAAGTCCCCATCCCACACCGCCCCACTACTCGCTCCTAACGAGCGGCTTATTAGTGCGCGGATCGCGACACCGGCGCACTCCAACCTCCCCCGCGACTCGAGCCTCCTCCTCAATAAGCGTCGCGCGCGCCTTACGGAAAGTTTCCTTTTCTTTTCATTTCAGTCGTTTCCTTTTGTTTTGCTCCCACTTCCCTAAAGTGTCGCAATAACGATGAGTAAGGCCGCGCGCAGCTCTAATGTAATGCGCGCCGCGCACTGCGGATCGCTCGAGCGGCTTGCGCTCTGGCAAATGCCACTCTCCTTTTAAATCGTTCTTGTCGATAAATATTTGAGTCTTGGCGAGTAAACAGGCTTTAAAGAGCCATTATTATACATCGCTGACCTTCGCTTTGTCTGCAGTCCTATCGGTTGCATTGTACGTTGACGAGCGTCTCGAATGGGAAAAACACGGCGTTTTTCGCGAGTCGAAAGTGCAGCGAATCCGCTCCCCACCCCGCCGCCGTTCAATTGGCAAGGCATTGTGCGCGGGAGTTGAAAAACATGAAGCTATCCCCGAATCGCGAATTATCCCGATGGCATCTGGCTTTTATTGTTGCGCGCGACGTACTCCCCTAGCTCATTGTTGAGTTTATTTTTAACTTTCATTGCTGATGCACAGTGGAGTTGTCGGAAATGCTCGGTAAGCTCGGAAAGCTAATAATTTTCCTGGTCGTAAAATTTAAAGATGTCACTGCGAAGGTCGAATAAACTTTGTTTTTCCGTAACTGCTCGCTGCCAATTACTGCTTTTTCGTTCTAGTTTTTATTGCTTTTTTCTTTCTTGTTTGCCCCCCCCCCTCACACACACACACACACACACACACACACACTCTCTCTCTCTCTCTCTCTCTCTCTCTCTCTCAATTTTATCGACTAAGGCCATAATGTATCTGCCTCTCCATAATCGAGCTAATTAACGTATTTGCACTCTTTATTTGCATTAGGAGTAGCTCGAATGTCGTCGATATGTAACGTCAATTATAATTAAAAAAAACGATTTCCAATACTCTATAGTGCAATGTCCAACTTTAAAACTAGTGTAAATCGATCATCCTATTTACAAGAATTTTGCGAAATCTCTGACGCTCATGGGTGCTAAACATATTCAATATTATGGTCGTATTATGATAAAATTACCAGAAAAAAAATATTGCGTGCCTGTCAACGTGTAATAGTTACGCGCATGAATTTCTCAAAATACTGGCTAATAAGGTAACAACATTTTACTGCGCTTTTTTACCAAGATTTATCCTTCTCTTACTATCTGGGGAGCCTTGAATCATTCAAATTAATGACAAAATGAATAAATAAAAACATAATTAATTAATTAATTAAATAAATGAATTATTGTAATCGATAATATCACACGTTATTCTAATATCATCGCGGTGCCTATAATGATAATTGCAGTAGGCTGCGATGAACGTTTGCTCTACCGTGTAATTAGAACTAAATATGTTGTAATTTACTTGGAGGAAATTCTACAACTGGTGATATGGTAAGACCTCTTGTCAAATTACAAGTTGTATAATGCTGGCGTGATTATAGTTGGTAAATCAGTAACGATGCCTATTTGAGATACGCGGAAAGTAGCCTATGTACGAAAAATCAATCATTCGCGATTCGCCGATAATGCTAATAATTTCAAATTAAATTATTCTCACGAACAAACGGCTTATTCAACAAATACATTCTACAATTGAGTAATAG